CCGAGCCTTTCCTACCAGGAGCTCAAGGACTTGAAGAAGACCGACGTCCTCCACATAGATGTGCGGGAGAGGTGGGAGATCGACAGATTTGGGAAAATCCCAGCGTCCATCAACATCCCGCGTAAGGTGCTACCGCTGCTGTGCGGGCACTCGGGTGTTCCCCTTTGCTTGATGGTCACCTCTGTAGGGAAGTGGCGGAAAGCGGAGCTGTGCTAGACAGCTGCTAGCAGGTTGTGAGGCTAAACTTCTCCAGAGGAATCAGAAGCCTTGCGGTGTCAGCCTGTCTGGGGATGGAGAATAAACGAGAGTTCTTCTTTTCTGTATTTTTCAGTGGGTGAATTAGTGGAAGCTCTACAGATGGACCCAACGGAGTTCAAGGAGCAGTACCATCAAAGGATGCCAGCCAAGTCAGACCCTGTGGTTTTCTCCTGTTTGGCAGGAACAAGAAGTAAACAAGCACTCGGTTTTGCCAAGTCCTTGGGTTTCAGCAGGTATGACTTGTTTAAGTAAGGATGGGATTAAAGCAGCTTCCCCCATGAAGCAGAACTCATACTCAGCTTCTTGTGGGCAATGGTGAAAATTTAAATGTGGACGTTTAAATGAACAAAACGACTATTGAGTTAAGACACCTCCTCTTGTCTCCACTGAACCTTGAAAGGCACTGTTGGGTGTTCCAGCAAAGTGAGGTGCATTGCCCTGTAAAACAACCCCTAGGCAGCTCTGTGCCGCGGGTGACACAATCTGCTGCAAGACCATGCTGCCACTGAAGGGTCCTTCTGCCTCTTAGGGCTCCCTTGCTGAGACCTTGCTTACTTTTACAGCTTCATAAGAGTAGGACCAGTGGTCCTAAGACACAGGATGATTGGAAAGGTGGAGAACTGCTTGCTTTGGTAGAAGTGCAGTCTTAAATTAGATTAAATAGTTTATGAAACCACACCCTTTGCTAAATTGCAGTTCCACCTATACAATTCAACTGTTGACAAAGTACGCCTTCACTTTCTGTACAGCATTGGATTGTTTGCCAGGAGTAAAGCAGTGAAGGCAACAGCTAAAAAGACATTGATAGAGTGAAAGCAAAAGCAGCATGTGGTTGGCAGAAGCATTACACCTATGCCAGAAGGTGCATTGGTGGCTTGAAGACTGCAGACAGAATTTTAAAAAATTGTTGTTTGCTTATGTTTTCACTGAACTGCAATTCATGAACTGGAATATCCCTGCTAATTCTAGTCAAAAGCATGGATCCATGTTCTTGTTTTATAAATATATTTTTGTTAATGCAAAATACCTTCCATTACCTGTTTTTCATGCTTCCTAATTGCAGGATTCAGTATTGTTCTGCATGGTGGGTTTTTGTTTTCCAGAGTTTAGTTTTGTGCAGGCTTATGTCAGATCTATAGAGCATGTAGGTTTGCAAGGAAGTAAAGAGCAATGTGCTGCATTTATTTAATGACATCTGAAGTATTAGGCATAGTAATATGTAAATGTCCCACTGCAGTGAGTCGGTGTTGAAGTAGCAAACTGTTTCATTGATCCAACTGCTACTACTTGCTTGATGTTTGATCTCCAGCATTGTGTCATTTGAAAAAAATGTTATAGAACACACTGCATGGAAGCAGGCAGCATTAGAGTACAAGGAATGTACATCTGGCTCATTGAAGCTAGGTACAAGTGTATTTGCAGAGAATTTCTGTATGCTGCTGTTGTTTGGTTTTGTTGTTTTGTTTTGGTTTGTGTGCCATGTCCTCTTAGATACAAGGTTAAGAAGAACAGTTCTTGAAAGAGATACCTTCTGCATATTTTCAGAGTTCAGCAGTATGCTGGTGGCTTTGAGGACTGGGTAAAACATGAACCTCCAGAGAAAAAATGAAGATGACTACCCTGACCCTTAGCCCCTTGAAGGCTTCAGGATGGTTTGTAGGTTTTAGCATTCCAACTAGGGGCATTCCCCTTCCAGAACACAGCCCACTCCTGTTTTCTTGTGTAAATGGACATTCACCTTCAAATAGCCATGCATATCACCTGCTTGGTTTAAATTACATCTAAACACTATGACATGAACAGAGGATGCTAAATTTGTTCAGCGTTTACTCTGGGCTGTTTTTTTGGTGAAAGTATGTGAAGAGAACCTAAGTGCTTATTATGTTCACTAAAATTTGTGTGTGATGTAGTTTATGACTGTTTAAACTAACAATGATAAGACAAATAAAATTATCCTTTCCCAAATAACAGTGTTGGGTAGTTTGTTTAGAATAGTTAAAACTGCAGATATACTAATGGAATTCAAGTAACTGCCCTAAAGTTTATTATACTGCATGCATAGCTGGAGTTTTAAAATAGTTGCTGTGTTATCAAAGAGTACGAGTACCAATTTTTAGGTTTGTACTATGTGATTGTAAGGCCAGAACTGGCCTGAAAATACAAAGGGAAACTGACCTGATTCTAGAATACTTGGTGTTCAAAATTATGTGTGATTCCTTATTTTAAAAGTGTATCCCATTTTTAGACACAGATCTGCTTCTGAGCACAAAATACTACAGCATTCAGTCAACAATTTCAGCTCCCTCAGCAGCTCAGTATCAAGTGAGAACTTGCCTATATTTGAAGTTATTATTACAGAGATGTAATCATTTTAGGCTGGTAAATTTGAGGTGTCCAAGGAATTTACTAAACTCCCTTCCTTCTTTTATGTATGTTAATTTGTGTGTATTAAACTTAAAAAAACCAAACAGCCCATCCCATCCCCACCTGTAAATTTGCATAGTCATAATTTTAAGGATTTCTTAGTTTGTTTTTTAATGCTGTTAGCAGTTCGAGGGAACTAGCAAAAGTGAATTGCTTTGGCCTCTAGAAAACTAGCAGTTGTCTTTAAAACAAAAGTCCTAGCACGGGAGTTCAAGACTCTGCAGGATGTCTGGAAAAAGGAATTAAAACTTGTGGTTCTGTTGTACTGCGTATTGCAGGCAACGTGCACTTATCCTACAGCTCTTCCATTCCAACAGTGCAGTCTGCATGGTGAGAAGAGGACCTAAAAAATACACCCTGTCAAGTTTACAGAACAGGGAAGAAAAAGTAACTGATCTTACTAGAATTTTATTTGTAGCAAGTCCTGCAGCCTCTCTACAATCATTTGTTTCTAGAGGAGAACTCCTGTAGTTGGCAGAGCCAGCTGTGTCAGCTGTGCTACCCTGATGGTGTATCTTACAGGGGTTTCTGTTCTCATGTCTTTGCTAATAATGAGGGACCCTGTGGTGTAGCTGCCAGAATAGTGAATAATGACTGCATTTTTCTTCAGAGTCACTTTCATTGACTTTCGAGCAGTCTTACTGCCATACTTTTATTCCAATCCATTTAAAAAAAAAAAAAAAAGTCAACTTAAGAACCAGAATTTAGACTAATTTCCAAAATACTGGTTTAGTTTAACTGATGAATTAACAGGAGTAAGATGAAATTAAAATGCTAGGATGAGTATGGGTGTTACCTTGTTGTGGTCAATTACTCTGCAATTCTCATTATCTTACTCCTAAAAAATCTTTTTCAGACTGGATTTGCCTGTTTAACATGACCCAGACTATCAGTTTCTCAGTGCTGTGGGCACATAGTGAAAGGGGCAACTGAAGCCCATGGTTGGCTGCATTGTGCCAGGCCTCACCAGGATGAATGATGCCTTTTGATCTAAATCATCCAGGTCAGATTGTATAGAAAATTTGAGACACGCTGAAAGTACTTAGCTAAACGTGGAACTAATCATGCCTCGCTGATTGACCAAGCCACCAAACTTCGGTGTAGAGGTGAACAAAGCAAGGTGATCTCATCAACTAAACTTAGTCACAATGTAGACAGAAATAGCCAATGCTTCCTTTTGTTGCTACAATGAAGTTTGTTGGGAACAGCTACAACTACATAGCCACAAAAAAACGAACAACAAACAGTTACGTTGGGTCACACCAAGCTCTGTCTAGCCCATTATTTTCTGTTTGGCAGCAACTGGTAATAAATGACTGAGGAAGAGCATAAAACAGGGTAAGTATGTAGTGATACAATCCCCAGATTATTCGCATTTACAGCTCAGAGTGCTTTGATACTTCCTTCAGGCCTTGCATATCTTGGAATATTTGGGTATTTGTAAATTTTCAATCAACACAAACTCCCAGCAGTCACAGCAGGCTGCATGGCATTTAACAAGGTGTTGTGGGAAAAATTATTTCCCTTTGTTGGTTCTCAACTTGGGCCATGTACTGTTTTCATCTGATGCCCCTGCTGGTTTCGTCAGCAGTGATGGAACAGTTGTCACCCCATCAGTCTTCACACCACTCATGATTTTTCTGGACCTCTGCTATCTTTTCTGAGATGAAGAGTTGTGGAATTATTTGGGTTTTTAATAGGAAAGCCACTGTATAGCTCTTTTTTATTTTCACTAGTTTTTATTAGTCTTGGTAGTTTTTTGCAAGGTATTTCTCAAACTATTTGTTGCTTGTCAAAGATGATGATCCTCTCTGTGTCTTCCTTATGTGGATATAACTTGCTTTTCAAATTATGCTTTTTGAGTTAAATAACTTGTCTGATCCAGTTCAGTTTGCTTCCTTTTAGATTTTTCCTTGAGTCTTTCTGGCATAGATGGCCTGTGTTTGCTTTGACACTCCACTGGCACCTGTAACCATATAATCTATGAAGAGTTTCAGCTGTCTCTCTTTTAATGAGATACCTGATTTTTATGCATTTCTTTCCTTGGAAATGAAGCACAGTAAAGGTGAATTTTTTCTGCCTGTTTGGTAGCAAAGCTGTTGAATTCACATTATGTTCCATTTCCTGTTGTTCCAATTTACATTTTTTTTTTTTTTTTAAATAACTGACATCACTGAACCCAGTTCCTTTAACTGCATTTTACTGCCTTTCCCTGTTTACACTGCAATCAGAGCTGGTAAAACAATCCTGACCTCCCCAGTAAAGAAATTACTTAAGATACTTCTATTTACCATCAAGAAGTTCCTGATATTTTTGCTCTGAGGTTTAGGTCATATAGATAATTTAGGTGTGAAGTAAAGTCTGCAAAGGCTTTTGAGCAGAAAGAAACTTTTAATCACCCCAGCCAGAATTCTTCATTAATAGTTTAAAACTCCTAATTTCAAAACATTAGCTTTCTTAACAGATTACGTGATATATGTGAGAAGACTGATGTTTAACTAAAGAGCAGTTCCTGTTTAAGAACTCCACACACTGGTCAAGTAGCATTGATTTATTTCTATTCCCCAAGTCCACATTACAAATAGCACATATTAGACTTCAAGAAACAAAGGCAAATAGTCAAATTCCACTTCATCAATCAAGTGTCTATAAAAGGTATGGATCAAATAGCAACAAAAGTAGCAAAGACCAAATTGTATGTATTTTCTATCTCACCAAAGTGGTTTGGGCTTGTTGACCTTATGTTTTTTGAAAATAACCTGAACAGAAATAATTGCTAGTAGCCTAATGGGCTACATACAAACACACTTCAGTTATATTTCACCAAATTACCAGCCAATTACAAAGACAGGTATTTGCAAAACCAGGGGTTTTTAAAGGGGACAGTTTTTTGAACCAAGACACATCACAGAGCAAGGGTTTTCAAGAATTTCCTTCCAGTATTTCAGACCAGTGAAATGTGTTGCTTTGGAAAAAAAAAAAATTAAGAACAATGTTACTGCACTTTATTTTATCATTCCATTTTTATACTTGGACAAGTCGGCATTATCATTCGAAATGAAGTTGTACAGAACTTAACTAGAAACAAAGCTACCTAAAAATCAAGAAATTTGATTTAGGCCAATTCCTGACTTCAGTGGGATATCTGCCTGAGTAAGGAACACAGGATATGGCCGTCTCTTTAAAGGAATCTCATTTTCTCCAGCACATAGTTAACCAAGGAATCCCATTTCAATTATTCTAAAGAGTTGCTCCTAACATCACAATTAAAATTAGCCAGTATGAAGCTCACCAAATGCTTGATCCTCTTAAATAAACTCTCTAATGAACCACACAAATTCACACTAACAGTGAAGGCAGACTAACAGTGTATACCTTTGGAAAAAAAAAAAATCCACCATTAAAAACAGCAATCATATCCAGACTTGTACTTGACTGTGAAATATTCCAACTGTACTATACAGTACATTTACTTGCAAAAAAATAAAAATAAAAATCATAGTATGTTGGGTTTTTTTAATTCCTAACACTTGAAATGTTTAAGAAAACTGCAGACTCACTATACATATTGCACTTCTCTGGTAAGCCGGGCTACTATGCTTCATGGCAAAAACATCCCAGTACATCTACTGAGTAAAACAGAGTTTTTCTAATCCAAAAAAGGAACTGGATTTCTTTCCTGCAGCTTTCATTAAAAATGTAACAATATTCTTTGCAAGCTTTCCTAGGATTTGTTTCTGAAGGATTGCAGTGTTACTTGTTACAGAATCCTTTTTTTTTTTAAAAAATCAACAAAACTCAAGGTAATGATTTAACATACAGTGCACGATCTTCCTTCAGTCACAAACAGAATGAAGACAACACAAGTCATTAATACAGTTACACTTAGGCTTCAGGTTACTGTTGCTTTAAAAATAGTTCACTTCAATGGCATGTTACAAGTTTTCCTCAAAGCAAACAAAACCAATAATGAACTATTTGGTTTGTGTGGATAGTGTTAATCTTTTGCAGCTTGGTTTGATTCCTTACACTGAAAAATTTTAGTACGTTTGCTCCAGCGTCAGAGAAAATGATGCAGTTTTAGAGAAAAAGCTTTCAAAATGCTTGACACAAACAAGCTATTCTTCGAGTTCTTTGTCAAAGATGTAACTAAAACCTTCTGTCCATTTCATGAACACAGGAAAG